TTCCCTCGAAACCACTGTACACTCGGATCTTGCTAGATCTCGCGAAACCCATAGACTAATATCGTTTAAAGTGACAGGAAATTTACTTAGAGCTGGATAGTAGTTTCTAAAAGGAAGCAGTCAGCGAAAAATCGTCGGACTCGTCCGGTATGACGAGGAATATACCTCGGGACCCTGAATTTCGCCTAAAATTGGAAAATTGCGGCAAGTGGCGGAAAGTAATCTCGCAGAAAGCACGGGAGCCGTGGCTGGCAAAGTCGGGAAGTCGAATAAACGAATTCGTCTACGGGGAAATCGGGAAGGCGCGAGAGAATCGCGATGGGGGATAAGCAAGGGGTGAAGTTTCGGAGTCAACTCACCGGCGCAGCTGTATCCATTTTTATGAAGAATGTAGCCGTCCTTGCAATCGCACTCGTACATCCCGTCGTGAAGTTCGTAGCAGAGCTGCTCGCACGGAGACCCGTGGCCGCATCTTCCTGCAATGCAAAGGATCGGCTTGGTGAGAGGCTTATTTGTATCCGAGACAAACGAACTGCGATAAAATATATTCGGAGAGCATTCGGCGTTCTGGATCTCGCGATATCTCCGGCTTTCATCGACTTCCCGAACAGGTGAGACTTACCGCGGTGAAAATGGCATTTTCGCGACCCTCTCTTGCGATGGAATTCCTCGTTTTCGAGAAGGGAGACGGTCGCTGTAAGTTGAGATACAGAGTAACACGGAAATCTCTGAGAAGTCTCGGGAAATTTTATAGTGGAAGCATCCAAGTGGTCGTTTTAACCCCCTTCAGCCGTAATATTGGAAAATTCGGGCGGTCCTTCTGTTGGATGGATGAAGGATATCCGTATCAGCGACCTGAGACCTAAGAGGGAGGTTTCCTATTTCGCGATTATTAAATAAAATTCAGATTGTTGCGTCCCGAACACTGCAATTCCAATGGTAGAAATTTCGTGGGGTTGTAAGACCCCTTTATGCGAATGCGACAATATTACTGGCCTACTCTAAATATAAGTTTGTATGTCTACTGATTGGTTGGCGTGAAACGTAAGTGGTGGGTGTGTGTCTTCCTATTAGTTGTGAATAATATTGGGGGTGTGTGTAAGCTTCGACGTCTTTCGGTGGTGGTGGATGTTTAAACAACTTTGGTCCTTATGCCTATCGTCTTAAGGGTGGTTTATTGACCCCTGCTAAGGTTTACCCAAGTGGTGACCAGGTGACAACGAGTATCCACGACAATAAGAATATAAAACAGTCCCCCGCTTAACACTATGCCGTCTGATGGCACCACGTTGGTGTCATGCGAAAACTATCGAACAAATGCTGATGACACCACGTTGGTATCATGCGCCATTGTTGGTACGTGCGGTCCTAGAGCCGCAACGCGGATCTATGGAATCGTTCCACAGTAATATGGACGAATTATTAGATTTAGAAGACGAACCCTGATACTTGGGAATTAAAACGAAAGATTCCTTCAGAACAGCTATCGCGACGGCACGAAACATCGGTGGCAATAAGATCGAAGGGGTGGAGGGGTAAGAGAATATAGAGGGGTGGGTGTGTGACAACGGTGGGGAAATTGTAATCCTGCAGGAAGTTGGCGGTTAGGCGTGAATTATTCGAGCAGTCGGCGTGGATCGACCGTCGTCGCGTGGCTGCTGCAAAATCCTTAAAGCGCGGGGCGAAAGCAGCGACGCTGAGCCAGCGTTTCGATGAGGGCACGGAATAATTCAAAGGTAAATGAAGCGCTTTCTCCTCGCTCGATGCAAGGCTCGGGAAAATACGACGCTGGCAATCGCCGGGATTTATCTGCCACTGGCAAAATACGTCCGTTTAACCCGTGACTTAATAAATTCCAGATGGACCGCTCAACCCGGCTGTTAGGATCTCTCTGAATACTAGGGGTAGTCGTCGCTGATTGCTCCAGGACTTTTAGCCATGTTCCATCACGTAGCGGAGTCGCGAGAATCCCTGTTTGGAGATTCAAGATCGATCGAACGACGCGTTAAATTTCGCGGAAACACGTGTACGCTATTCTCGATCGGCAGTATCAGCTACCGTCTCCTTTATCGAGGTGTTATCGAAATGCTTCTCCGGTTGCGCTATAAAATTGCGGATCTCGGGGATATACGATCTTCGTCCTATTCGAATACTTCCCGATCGCCGATTTACCTCTTTACGTTCGCGTTTCTTTCAATCGCGTCGACGAGATGTAAAAGCTTGAACGTGAATGTCGAGCGATCGTCCCCTGGTCTAAGAGGATCAGGTACACAGACGGTTTGGATTTATGGCGATCGCTTAATATGAAAATCCCGAGACGCGTTCCACGAACGTGTCGACCACCGAAACAACCCTCAAGTATGTGGGTTGACTGGCTACGAAAGACGTTTACACGTATTAATGACACAGGATCGATCGTTTCGCGCCATTACAGCTTAACCAGTGAGTATAACGACGCGTGTCAACCAACCGCAACGACTGTCATGCGTAATCAAAGGGTTAAGGATCGGATCGCTATTAACCTGGACTCGACCCCTCGACATCTCGCAGACGCGTGTCAGCGAGTAGTCTGCGCGGCTAGACCCTCGGTGCGAGGGTAGTCACCCTGGTCAGGGACAAGGGAATAATACATAAGATCAACGTAATCGAGAATTTACAGAGCCTTTAATTTCTTAACGTTTAATCTCTCGCGCCTTGCACGGCCGATTTTTAACGCACGGTTAAAAATTCCGTCGAAATGGCGAAAGCCTGATAACACAGAGCCAGAACTCGGGCTAAAAGTATTCCCTGATTCTCTATTCACGAGTTTCCATCAAAATTCCCTCGATATCCCGCGCAAAGCCACCCCTTCCGTACCAACGATAAAATTACCCAGTCGACATGCCGACTTCTCCAAATTCCTAGCGATTCCGCGCGCAATCCGGGCACGATTCCCCGAAAATTCTGTTTACAGGTCTAAAGCATTGTTTCCACGGATCAGGGACGCTCCGCGACGCTGCGAGAGAGCAGCCTAGGCCAGCTGGATTTATTCGAGAAGTGCCTGGCGCGCAAATGCGCCATAAATTCGCCGAGTGAAGAAAAATGGATCATTCGCTAACTCCGAGCGTACCTTCTCTCGCGTTCTCACACGTTTTTACGACCCGACGTTCGAATAACTTTCCTACCATCTCCGCTGGAGAACCGCGACCATGCGCGTCTTCGCTCGTTGCACGCATAATAAATAACGATGAACTGTGAAACCCACGTCGTCTCGAACCAACTTCGCCGCGGTATTGTTTACGGGAACCCCGTGGCGAGGCCATGGAAATAACGCATCGCTCACCCGCTGCGATTAAAATACGATGTACGCGCGCGCGCGCGCGCCGGCAATATCGATTGTCCCCTCGCGGTCGCCACGGGCCACTTCCGGTCCTCGGTCTTAATTAAAATTCGCGCCCCGAGAAGGGGAGAGAAGGCCATCGCGATCGACGAATCGCGACGTTTCCTTCGAGATGTTGCTTTGCTTCGAAATCGAGATGCTTCCACTCGTATTCGTTTGAGAGAATAATTTTTCTCGAGATACGAGGAAGTTAAATTGGAATTGGAACATGCATGGAAAACTTAATACCTCGAGGAAGGTAATTTCGTTAGACTTTTCTTATTTGCTTTGTACGTTTGTACTGGAAGAAAGAGGGTACTATGGAGACTGAGATAGATTCGAATTAAGAAAGAAATATGATTCGAATTAAGAAAGAAATATGATTCGAAGGTGCTCCGTTTTGGGATAGTAGGATTTGAAGTCGTAATATAAGATAAGTCGGCTTTTCCTTAGGCTCAAAGTAAAATGTGAAGAACAAGGGGTACAATAGGGGTGACAGTAAAATCCATTATCGAAGTATGTCAGGCTGGTGTGAAACTGACTTTATCGTCCATAGTCAGCAATGACTCAGGAGTCAAGCCTGTGTCAGCGTTGTAGTCGTAACATGCGAGAACTCAGCTCTATCTTAGGCTCAAGGAAAGGAGTGAAGAACAAGAGGTACAATGGGGGTGTCAGTAAAGTATATCATTGAAGTCTGTCACGCTGGTGTGAAACCGACTTTATTGTTCATAGTCAACTAATGACTCAAGAGTCAAGCCTGTGTCAACGTTATAGTCGTAACGTGCGAAAACTCAGCTGTATCTTAGGCTCAAGGAAAAGAGTGAAGAACAAGGGGTACAATAGGGGTGTCGGTAAAGTTCACCATCGAAGTCTGTCAGGCTGGTGTGAAACCGACTTTATCGTCCATAATCAACTAATAACTCAGGAGCAATCCTTTTATCATCCCTCCAAGCTTTTTCCTATTACATCGTTATATACAAACTCAAAACCTGAAACAAGTTATCAGAAACAAACCAAAGTCTATCGATAGTTAATCCTAAGTCAATCAATATCTCCCCAAAACGTACCCCTTCCTTGACATACAGTCCTACATATAAATATCTGCATCAGGACACGAGTAAAGAGCATTCTGCACAGTGCAACTCCACGATGTTATACCTTCGCGAGACCCTCTATAACTATACATAGTTATCCACGTTAGTCTCTATTCGAGAGTTGGCCGAACGTCCCTCTCCTTACGTCACCGTAATTGTCCCATGACACTAGAATCGCGGGGTCCTCGATTTCGAAACGCAGCGCGCGTAAAACAGTGGTCCCAATTACAATTTTCGGAGTATTCGTTCTAATTTCAGTGCAACTAATTTCGAAACATAAGAAAAATTTCATAACCTCGACGTCTGCCCTCCGGAACAGCCGAGAGAAAAAAGCTCATTAACCGTAATAGAAACGTCTTAAAAACGCGAGACCGTGCGCTAGCGATCTCGTACTAGCCTGCACATCGTTCCAAATATTCCAGCCGCTTTTTAATTCACCGTTCCATATTAAAATCCACTCGCGAGGATCATATTTTCGCCGTAAGGAGTCGTTGGCTGAGCGCGAGAGATGAGCGTGTAAGCTGAAAAACCACCCCCTAACCAGCAGACGTTCCGCGAGCCCCCTATTTGCCTAACAAAACCCGAGGAAACGCGCGATTACTTTTACGCCGTCTACCCGCGGCGTTTCCAAAAATTACTCCTTTAAATCCAGCGTCGCGTCGTGTCACGCTATTCTTCCCGGAGCCATTGTTCGGCTCGTTCAAACATTCTCTCCTGGTATCGTCGCCTCGCATCTCGTTAGCCTGCATCCGAATCCCGTCTCTCTTCCCGTCACCTCGAATCACAGGCGTCCAGAAACCAGCGTGGAACACTGGTGGAACTGGGCCATGGAGCTGGCACCAAGGTGGCGAGGATGGAACGATACAACATGGCGGCCGGGACGCACGCCGGGCCGAGAAACGGGGCCGGAGTGTGTCATCGTCGCTGGAGGAATCGCTGGAGGAATGGCTGGAAGAATCGCTGGAAGGAAGAATGCGAGACTCTGCTTCCATTTTCGCGGCGACAATTTGGCGCGGTCCCGCGG